GGTCCGGGCTGGGGATTCGAACCCGCCACCTTAGGTGTACGTGGCTGGCGCCTTAGCCGGTTGAGCTATAGGCGCCGAGCCTGTCTCGCTGTATTTTTTCACTGGTCCCCACTTTATCCCCCGTGCCCCACTACCCTTCCCAGCCTCTGGTAACCGCCATCCTACTCTGTCTCCAGGACATCAGTTGTTTATGGTACTTAGCTCCCATGTGTGAATGAGAACGTGTGAAATTTGTCTTTCTGTGCTTGTGCTGGGTGTTTTGTCCTGAGGTGCCCCTCTCCCTGGAGTTCTGGTTCATCTCTCCCCATGTGGGTCTGCACCAGTGTGGGCCAGATCCACCCGGGGAGGGTTGGCAGTGGGGTACCAAGACAGAAGTGTGGGCTTAGGGGAGCCGGGCAGGATTGGGACCCATTGCCAAAAGTGAGATGAGCAGGTGCCAGGTCACTTGGGCTCCAGGGGCAAGGCCTTCTGAGCTGGTGCTGGGTTCTAAGGCCTTGGTTTGTTTTGGCCACAGACCTCTACGTGGACTAGGTTGGATTTCTTGGTTCTCCTATCTTGTTGGAATCAGTTTATTGTGATTTCAGCTAATAAGCGGCTCACCTGTCAGCGCCTTGATTTCCGTCAGAGTCTGTAGTTGCACTCCTGGTTTGGTGGAATATCCTTTACAAGCTCGGTTCCTAGTGGCCAGCTGGGCAAGGCCTGCTGAGCCCTCGAGTCGCTCCAGCTGTTGTTTAGCTGTCTCTCCCTGGTCTAAGACAGGAGCAGGGGACAGAAACACATCTGGGGATTGATTCCTGTGCTGTGGGGTAGGTTCTGTTCTCATCACTACAGGGCGGTGGTGAGACTGAGGCTTTGAGATGGAGGCCTGTGATTCCTGCCCCGGGCTCCATCCACTCTTTCTGGGCAGAGCTCCTGTGAGTGCGGTCGTGTGCCTTTGCTTAGCCTCTCCTGGCCCTGCTGAGTATTTTGATGCTCCCGTTTTAGTGCCTTGGTGGTATCTGGCCCTCCTCCCCCAGCCACTGCACCCCTGGGGGGTTGGAAGCATTGCTGTTGGTATTGGAGGTTGGAGAACAGACTGGAGACCCCCAGGAGAGGGTAATGGTGTGGCTTCTGCTCTGTCTCGAAATAGAAACACGTATAGTTAATTGGAGAGTGTAAATAAAAGGAGATGTCGGATTAAAACTTGACCTGTATAGTCTGGGACCGCCCTTTCTGGCCACATGGAAGGGACTATTCCCAGCTATCCTGGTCTTGGAACAGACAAACGGTGGGACCCAGCTCTTAATTCAGTTTCTTAATGTAGTCGGCCACGAGAACATCCCAAGAGCACACGTCTCTTACCTTGTGACTTCGTAATTTCCAGGATCACAACTGATTTCCCATTGGCTTACCTTTTGGACCCGTGGCTCTCAGAAGAGACCTGGATTCCTGAGGGGCATTTCGGTGGCAACTTGATCTGTCCTGCTTGTTATCTTTTCTGGTTGGGTGTCTCTAGTTGGCCGACCCTATCTGCGTGTCTGTGATTTCTCTTCCTTAATTTTGGTTCTTGCACACCTGGCCGGCCCCTAGGCTGCGCAAGACACTTTCTTGGGCACCTGGAGCCCTGTAGGCCCCAGTAATCCATGAGGAGGAGAGGGTGGCTGCCTTTTTAGGATCTGCTGATTCCAGCCAGGTGAGTCACCAGGTAGCGCTCATCTTCCTCTCAATGCCTGTCTATTCGGCGTTGTTAGGGAATGTGATAATTCAATGCAGTGACGTCTCAGCGCCAAACCAGTTTTCTTCTCCAACCATTTCACCGTCTGGAGTGATTCTTGTTTATTTGGCATGGTCAGGGAATGTGATTATTCATTCAAATGACTGTTGAGTTCCAAATAGTGTTTCTACTTCAGCCTCTTAAATGGAAAAAAAACCTATAAAGCAGAGCTTGTATTTCTGTATTTTCGAGAACATAGGAGCCCTTTCTGCTGAGTGTCAGGATTGCCCCTTGAGCATCAGCACCGTGCAGGCCAGTGCCCACTCAGGGCCTGCATGCTGACCAGCCTTGACTGTTTGGCTTTTATAAGTCTCACATCTGTGTTGTATATTTTTGGGGTGGCAGTCTCTCGTTGCTTTTGCTGGTTATTGTTGGACCCGCTTCCACTTGAGCCCTTCTTCTTAATGAAACTCACTCTCTTCCTCCAGGCCCCCTACTCCGCAGTCCTGAGCCCTGTCCTGTTGCGAAGTCTCTACTCAGGAAGAAGAGAAAACTGACCAGGGAGGAGCCACAAGCTGCACATGCCACAGTTTAACTAGTTTTGGGATTTGGGGCACATAGGAGACCTTCTTGGGGAACCTCAGTTTTCTGTGCAACGGGTATAATATTGTCCCTCCCTATTTAATTGAGTCGCTCAGGGTCAGGAAGGAAAAGGAACCCCCAAATGTGTATGTTAAAGTGAGCATAAACCTAGGCACTATTCAAACATGCATTGGTGGTTTGAGTTTGCGTGTGTGTCTCTCAAAAGCTTACCCTGAAAACTACCATTGAGAACTGCTAGTTGTCTGAGGCTTGTTCTCCCTCGGGGACACTCAGCTCCTGGTCCCCTCCCTCCAGGCCTGGCCCTGGGTAAATTGCCAGATCAGCAATCGTCCCTCTCCCCGCCTCTTTCTGGAACTCTCAGTGGTACTAGCACAATTTAAATCAGGTTTAACCACTTTGCACGCCACCTTTACCCCACTGCGTGTGTGTGTATGAGAGTGCGTCCCTCCTTCCCGCACGTACAGAGTCCCTGCTGGACAGCCCCTCACACGGCAGGCACACTTGCAAGCACGATTTTACTCGCACCTGCTTCCCGATGTCTTATTCTCTATCTCCTTTTAAGAAAACATTGTCTTAGGACCGAGTCTGAATGCTCTTTATCAACCTTGCTTTTGGTAGCTGTAGTCATTTTAGGACAAGTAGTGGGCGTTCTTTCTTATATTATTCTTGAATCTGGGACTCTACTCACCCCCTGGGAGGATCATCTGTTTCAAATTATAAGTCTGGATGCATTATATGGTCCCTGCCCTCAGAGGGCTTACAGCCTAAGGGTGGTATAGTCCTATGGGTACTAGAAGAAATAGTTACAGATTCCTTAGTCCTTGCTGTGTGCCTGGCACTGTGCTAAGAACTGCCTGTTTAGTACAGAGGAGTGTGAGCACAGCCGAGTTGCAAGCAAAGGGCACCCGTTTTTGAGAGCAAGTGGAGAGGTAGGTGTGAAGGAAGGGGAAGTGCGTTTGGTCCTAGGTAGAACTGTGAAAACACTTTCCTGCCGGCTGCACAAGTAGAAATGATCTCTTTTACTTGACTGAGTGACTGTCATGCAGTCAGACCAACAGAAGTATTTGTCGATCAGGATCATCTATTATTTGCCAGAAAGAATTCACTACAACCAGATCAGATGACCTATTTCTGTGGCCCATCTGCTGCAATATGAAAACAGCACTGGTATTCGGGGCCCTCATTTTTCCCTTCCATTATTGTGTCACTCAGAGTCATTGGAAGGCTGAATGCTGAGTTACTGGGGATGCCGTCAAGAGGATTCCAGCCCTCAGTGGGAGCTGGGCACTCTTTCGGGTCCTCATCCACCTGATATATATCCTGCCGTTTTAATTTTACTGGTAGTTTAAACTGTTCTACACGGATGCAGTCTAATTCAGTTTTTAGAAACTTTCCGAAAGTGGCAATGATTGGGACAGCCCGAGAATCTGAATCGTCACTTTCTGACCAGATTCAGAATTGAACTGGTCCCTGCTGTGCTCAGTGCTGAGTATACCAAGCTTGTTCTGTACTGTGAAAATCTTAAGTATACATGACACCTGTTTTTGAAAGTAATGTAGCCAGATCTGAGAAGTGACTTCCAAGATCTAGAAGGTTTAGCTTAGGGCCTCAGTTGCGTTTGGCTGGGGATTTTCTCTCAGTGAGGAAAAAGATCCGTATGTGTTTAACAAGATTAAGTCTCCCCCCACCCCGGGTGAAGGCATTCTAGAAAAAATTACATATACAAGGCCTGAGAACCGCTAGGTAGCAGTTGTGTAGTGCTGATGGGATGTGACAGCTTGCTTCTGCCAAGATTCCGAGGGTGACTTGCAAACCAGCAGGACCATCAAGATATTTGCATTTACTCACCGTTTATGCTTGCATCTATCCACAGAGATGTTGACTAAGAATTGCTGAAAATGATCTGTTTGGAAATCCTATCCTCCATGGAATTTTGTTATAACACAAGAGCTGTGCTGCACTAGCAAACATTTTGGCCTTTGGGTTAGTCTAGAACATTGCACTGGAAAACATTTTTTTTTTTAAGCTAAAATGTTACAGAGTTAAAAGAAAAAAACTGGCAACTTCCTAATGAAAGATTAAGAATGATCTGTAAACTATTAACCAAAGAACTAAAAACTTAAACAGTTGTTCTTGCAGCAGGATCCAGTGGGGATCATAAAATACACAGAAAGCTGCGGTTTAGCAGAGAATCTGAAACTCCTAAGAGAGGGTGGATATCTTTCCCTTGACCCATAATTTGTCCATTTGGGAGGCAGCAAAGCACCCAGACTTTTGCAAGTAGGAGGCTTATTCTAAACTTCACCCTCCTTAACTAAAAAAACAAAAAAAAAATCAGTTGTGTAATGAATCACTTTGACTTATGACCTGTGTCCTGCAAGGGCCATTAGGTGATGTCATGGCTTGTGGTATCCCCGGGTGGTGGGAGTAGCAACCAGCTCGCGTGAGTGTGTGAGTGCACGCACGTCTGTGTGCAGAGGCGTGTGGTTGTCCGGCAACAGTCACATGACAAATAGCAGTTTGCAACTCTGAGCCACAGAGAGTTTGTTTTACTATTCTGTCTGTTCCAGTTATTTAACTGAGGGCAGATGTCCTCATTAAGGGCTATTAGCACATCAGGGTATGTTTGCTGAGCCTGGGAAGGGCTAACCCCTTTTGGACATTGACCAAAATACATCATTTTAGGGTAACCAACCCCTATGGGTGACAGCAGTAGGGCTTTGGGGTCCCCTTAAGACTGTATCAAGAAGTCTTTAGCATGAGTTTGTTTCAGTCGAGGAATTCTGTTAAGTTGAGAATGTAAAATCGTAACATGGGAGTTGGCTGCATGTTGAAATACTGTTGTCGTTACTCAGAATTAGATGTTCCTTGGTTTTTCTTGGCTGCTGTGGAACCAGATGGCAAGCTAGGGGATGGTTGGTTTATATGGACCATTGATAGCTCCCAAGGAAGAAACCAGTGGGGGAGTGAGTGGACAGGAGGTCGTCACCTTTGGACTGGTAAGAGCCTCCCCCCGGGGAGAGGATCAGGTGAGAGGCGTGAGACAGCAGGTCATCCTGAAAAGTTGCTTGGGCCCGGAATTTACCTTGGCAGGCCTTTATCAACTATCTGATTCACATCGAGTCCATGAAAGACTCTTGGCTTTTCTGTGTTATCTATGGAGTCAGGTCCATAATAGCCTAGCAAGTGTGCTGATGAACACAGGAGAGGCATCCCTTAACGTCTGGTGTTTGTATTTTTCACTTTTATGCTGTTAATCCCAGGTATGAACTTGGCTGAAGATCTCCCTAACTCACTGGGTTGATCACACCTCAGCAAAGTGCAGTGTGTGTATAAAAGCCTTCCAGACCTGGCTGCCGAATGCTTAACTGCGACTTGGGCTGCCGGGCCAGGTCCGACTTAAAGAGTTGACCTTTGGCTCAGCGCCTGTGGCTCAAGCGGCTAAGGCGCCAGCCACATATACCTAAGGTGGCGGGTTCGAATCC